ACCGGCGCTCAAACCCGACCGAAAAATGCAAAGTTCTCCAAAGTAAAAACTAAGTATTTAAAACACTTATTTAATGTATTGTGATGTCAAAACAAGCTTTGTAAGTTGAAAACCACGTCGTTAAGGTAAAAACCATGGTTGACCAAGTCAACACCGTACACGGGTGGTTTTCACCAAAAGACAAAACCGGAAGGTGGTTTTCATGATGTTTTGATTGGAGAACCATTTAAATGAATTCAAAAACAATTCCCACAAAAAAAGACTCGAAAACCACTTCATTTAAGTGAAAACCACGGCTAGCCAAGTTTATGTCGTTTCGCGTGGTTTTTATCAAACGACAAAAAACGAAAGGTGGTTTTTGAAGTGTTTTTGATGGAAAACTATTTAAATGTGCCCAGAAGTAAAAACCAATCATAAAAAGTTGAAAACCACTTGGTTAGTTCGGACGCCAAAAACCAACGCCGAAAACCGAATGCCGAACGCCGGTTTCTGAAACCCGAACGCCGGATGGCTTGATTTTTGGTTTGGGCGAACACCAAGTGTTTTTAATGTTTTATACATTTTTTAAAAAACATTTTTATGATGTGAGAAATGCATTGAAAAGAATTTTAGCCTAAAGAGCCAAGGTGTAAAGATTGGGTCGGTCTTGATCACAATAAAGACCGACTCAACGATGCTAAGACTAAGGTCTTCGTTCTTGATCTTCGTTTGGCTCTTGTTCTCTTTCTTATCATCTTTGGTTCTCGCCTTGTATATTCAATGACTTGTCTCGTTCACGGCGGTTTGGCATTATCAAAACCTGACATAACAACGAACGCGGCTTTAGTACGAAAAACGTGATAAACCCGTGTTTCAACAAAAATAAGTTGACTATTGGTCAACCGTCTAATGAACCGAATTTAAAGTTGAATTTATTTTTATTAAAAGGATAAACATATGCGCGATCTTAATCATTGAATTATTATGTTTATTCTTGTGCTACAATGGAGTGCCACTCAGCGTCAATGCTGAGCGGATACCGTTGTTTTCCTTTTTGCTGTCCGTAGGTTATCAGACAGATGAACCTAGAGCCGATCCCGGAGGGCATTGAGGAGGAGATGTACGATGGCGTGGCTGTCTCTTTAATCTGTAGTTATGCTTTATTTAATTATCTTTAATGCTTATTACGTTTTCGGGCAAGATCCCAAGTTGTTTGACTTTAAAAAGGCTTCTGCATTATTTTAAATTACTCCGATGGATTTTTATATATATTGATAGAATGTTTGTTTTAAATTGTTTTGAAAATGTTGTATATTCGGATACAAATCCAGTGGCACACCGGTCCGCTGTCTCACGGGTTTGGGTTATGCGGGTTGGGGTGTTACATTTTGGTATCGGAGCATTTGGTTTTAAAATCGGTTTTTGGACCCTTTCAAAATAAAATACAAAGAATAATTCAGCCACATCTGCATCTCACGTAACTCCTCTGCCCTGGGAAGGTAATAAGTATTTATAGCTTTATCTGCATCTCACCTACGCCATGCAGGGGCGCACAGATCCTAACCCCGATGTAATCTTGGGTACGTTCATACTATTTGATTCGGTTATGCATGCCTTGATCAATCCGGGTTCCACGCTCTCCTATATCTGTGTTGGCATGCCTGCTAATTCTGCGATCGTGAGGAGTGACCTTGAGATACCTACCGTTGTATCGAATCCGCTAGGACATAGCATGCGCATCACATTTATCATAGGTGTCCGTTGTCCGTACAAGGGAAGCAATTCCCTGCAGATTTGATAGAGCTACCACACAAGGAGTTTAACATTATCCTTGGTATGGATTGGCTCACCGAGCATAGAGCAGTGGTCGACTACAGTTGTCGGACCGTACGGCTGAGAGCCGAGGACGGTAGCGACGTATCACTCTCCGGGGAGGTGTTCCCCAAGGCTCCCGAGTTCATATCGTCCATGAGCGCGAGGCGCTTGAGTCGCAAGAAGTGCGAGATGTTCCTGTGTCACGTTCAGGATATGCGAAAAGAATCACCACGTCAGCAGGACATCCGTACGGTTTGCGACTTCCCCGACGTCTTTCCCGAAGACCTTCCTGGTTTGCCTCCGCTGAGAGAGGTAGAGTTCTCGATCAATCTCATTCCAGGTACGGAACCCATATCTGCTACACCGTATCGTATAGCACTTGCTGAGATGAAGGAGTTGAAGGCTCAGTTGCAAGAGCTACTGGAAAAGGGATTCATCCGACCTAGCGTTTCCCCATGGGGAGCACCGGTGTTATTTGTTTGAAAGAAGGATGGATCCATTAGACTTTGCATCGACTACAGGCAGTTGAACAAAGCCACAGTGAAGAACCGTTATCCGTTGCCTCGCATCGACGACCTGTTCGACCAGCTTAGAGGGGCTACAGTATTCTCGAAGATCGATCTGCGTTCTGGATACCATCAGATTCCCGTTAAGAGAGAAGACATTCCGAAGACTGCTTTTAGGACACGCTATGGGCATTATGAGTTCTCAGTCATGCCTTTCGGATTGACTAATGCCCCGGCAGTGTTCATGGAGCTTATGAACAGTGTGTTCCGACCATACTTGGACCAGTTCGTAGTAGTGTTCATCGATGACATCTTGGTTTATTCACG